CCCATCTTACTGTATTTGATTGATAACACTAATATTATTTCCGAATGTACTTTATCTTATATTTTTACGAGTTGATCACGGATTGATATCATTTAGAGAACCATTGAAAACAAGCTGGGAGTACTGGGCAGCAGTTTCGTCAGCCTAGCTTGGGAATCATCGGCAGTACGGACCCCCTGGGATTCAAACTGGTAGAAATCAGAATTCATGAGCTATTAAATCGGCTCGCAGTGGCTGAATGGCATTCGAGCTTGCCTTGTAAGCTTCTATATTTCGGAGATGATTTAAAATTTTTTATTTTTCCGGAATGAACTCCTTCTTTTGTGCATTTGACAAATCATTTTCGTATGCAATGCTTGTCTGTTTGCAAGCGTATATTAAATATTTGAGAATGTTAACTTCATGAAATCTAAAAAGTTTCATTAGTTACTTATGTTCCTTATATGATTCACTCCATCAGCGATTTGGATTAATTTCTGCTGTTAGATTCCGCTATAAATCAACATCATATAGAGAGATCACTGAAAACCAGGGGGTAATGGAGTGAGTATTCACTGCCACATCACGGATCGAAACTGTGACCTTCAGATTAAGAGAACAAGTCCGTTGACCATTCACCCATCTGTAAATTGTAGCTTTTTGTTAACCCATGATATAGCGCTACCCTCAACCAATGCTTTCAATGAGCACCCACTGCATCTTCAAAGAGTGGACCCCATCGGCCATGAATTCTCATAGCAGGTTCAGGAAGATCATCCAGCAGCCGTCAATGATTTGGAGATTGATATTCAGACTATAGGATTCGTGAGGATTTGGATTATTTTAGAATGCACTGAGATTACATGCTATAATAGCAGATGCTACACCTTGACTTTTTTAACATGTAAACCTCTCTTATAAGAACTTTCGCACTTCACTAAACAGTTCTGGTCCATCGACTGATCGGACCAAAGTGGTCGGTCTCAGGTTGACATGTCGGCTTGTTGTGCAAATGCTTCGACAATGTCTGAGCATGTAATTAGAAGTTAATTGGTAGATGGTGACTAGCTGTGGAATCCAGGATGAAAAACATCATTGCTCACAGCAGAATGCAGATACATCCAGCCGGCGAGTTCCAAATAGGACGAAATGCACATCCTGGTGGATTACAATTAAGTTCTGGTCCATTTTATGTCGTAAATACTTGCTGGAAATCTTAGAACACTGTTACACTTCAGTATGCAAACGAAGATTTCACTGTTGCAGATTAAGTTGTACTTATCTATTCTAAATCAGCCTTGTAGAAGGAAGCAGCGTGCAGACTGATTATAAAGATATCAGACATACTTTTTCAAAATTATGAGGGGTGTTTTATTCACTATTACCAAATATTTGATATTCTTTAAATAATTAAAAACGGCGCAATTCATGAGTCATGTGTAACCATTTGCTCTGTAGGCTAAAGGACCCTTTAGGTTGGCCCAATTAAACAAAATACCGTGCAATGACTGTGATTAAGGTTAACTACATAGGTCAAACTAGTAGATCAGGAGTAGTGAGATTATCAGAACGTAAGAATTTAGCTGAGGTAGGAATTGTTGACCCCGAGAAGATAAGTAATTTAGAAACAAGCTCAGCGATCGCACTGCATGCAATAACACAAACCCACACACTAGGGTGAGTTGGACAGAGTTAAAATTCTAAAATGTAACATGGGTAGGTGGAGAGAGAGATTGATTACTGAATCCTGGTTCATTGAGTCTACACCCAACTCACGCAATAGAAGTGACTCAACGCAAGTACCAGAGATGTGCATGGAAGATATTATTACCACCAGTCAAATCAGAGGATGATGAATAATGCTGAAATGTATTCAGTTCACATTCTAACAAGTTATTTATTTTTACTGTAAAAAACATCTTATTTCTCATCTGATTGTATTTGATCGACAACACTTAAATTATTTCTGAATGTACATTATCTTATACTGATTTCTATTCAAATGTCTAATGAATTTTTACTCATGTATATAAATGAAGCAAGAAAGTTATGTGAGTAGTGCCTTGATATGATTATGAGTAATTATTTGTGCTCGAAACTTGGTCATCAGTAAATATTGCTGTATAATAATGTGTGACTTTATGAAAATAAAATTTTATCTATTATGGTGTTATAGTCTACCACAGTACACAAGTTTTATCCTTATATCAATAATACATTATAAGTTTTAACAGCACCATTCCACTACTGCATAACAATTTTAATTATTAGATGTATCACACAGTCATTGAAACAGTATTATATATCCTGGATGATAATTTTTCAAACCCAATTTATTATCGTTCATAACCATATCAATTATAACTACACAACTTCGAGACTCCCATTCTATAGTTTTCTCCATTGTTTCCTACTCACTGTAAGGTTAATAAAGTTTTCCAGATATCCGGGACAGGTGTTGAATCATTCCTATTATATGTGTTTGCAGTTGGCTTCGGGATAGATGTCTTTTGGTGAAATTCCGTAGATATCCATTCTTTGGGAGACGTCTATGAGATATATTTCTTCAATTTCCCTCAAGGTGGGAGTTCTGCAATGAGTCCTGGCCCTCTTGAATAGTGTTTGTATACAACTCCTTTTGTGTGTTATTGGATTGTTGCTGTTGTAAGTGAGTTTCCGATCTGTGTGGGTTAATTTTCTGTAAACTTGAGTTTCTAATTCCCTTGTGGTTGTTCGCTTAACTAAGACGTCCAAAAATGGGATTTTGTTCTCGGATTCCTCTTCTCTTGTGAATTCGACGTCACTGAAAACTCCGTTTATCAAGTTATGAGTTTTCTCCAAATCTTTTCTTTTGATTATTAAGAATGTGTCATCTACGTAACGTATACAAATTTTGGGTTTGATTTTTGGTAGGATTATGTTTCTGAGTCTTTGCAGCACTGTTTCTGCAACCAAACCTGATACTGGCGATCCCATGGAATATTCCTTTAACTTGTTCATATATTTAGCCGTTGAACTGGAAGTATGTTGCTAGGCATAGGTTTATGCATTCCATTCAACTTGTTTGTTGCATTTTCGACTGTTGTGGGAGGTGTTCGTCGATGCTGAGTAATTGCTTCATGATCCCTTTTACTAGTTTCTGTCCAATATTGAGGTATATAATGCTCTGACATGCATGTCACCAATCGATAAGAAGGAAATCTCATACACATAGGGTCAAAGTCCAAGTCAAGGAAACGATCAATACCAGTAGAAGTAGACTAGAGGGTTTGAAAACACAGGAAAACAACCAATCTCGATGTTCAAGGTCACCCGCCAGGAGAGATGACTAATAAACTCGTAAAGAAATCTAAAAGTTCACTTCAACAAATTGAAGTGTGCACTGAAGCGATATGTTGCCTAGTAGGACGGCCACTGAAAGCTTCGGAAATAAACCATCCAGCTCAGAGAACAGTATAACTACATCAAAAACACTTTCAATTAGTTTACGACATAGTGTTGCTCAATTCTCGATAGAATTTTAGCGGAAATTTTGTAGAGAATCGAATCTTGTCTCATTTGAACAAAAATACAGTGTCATATGACATACTATCGAATGCTGTTTTATTTGGAAATTCTGATTGAAAAGAAAGTATTTAGCAATTTAAATATATAATAAGTTCCCAGACCGTAGGTGTTACAAACTTCCTGGAATAATTTGAGCGCCGAGTCAGATTGATTCATTTTAAATTATTTAAATGGTACAGATATGTAGATGACACATTTATCATCATAAAGAAGGCTGAAAAAGAAAACTTTCTAACAGAAATTAACTTAATCTCAGAATATATAGAGTTTATTAATGAAGTAGAATCGGCTGAGGGGACTCTAAACTTTCTTGACTATCTTGTAAAAGGACAAACTGACGAGAAACTAAAGTTTACCATATACAGAAAGCTGACACATTCCAATAAGTATTTGAATTTTCAATCAGACTATCCAATAGGAATGAAAGTTTCAGTATCTTTAAATCTCGTTAACAGAGCTAGAAACATTATGGCAGATAATGACGATATGGAGAACGAGATATCCAATATAAAACTGATTTCGATTAGAAATGATTATCCTGAAAACCTACTAGATAATATTATCAATAAAAAGGAGCGTAAGGGAAAACAAAAAAATGAAAAATCTTGGCTATCGATGGTAGCCATTCCATACCGAAAGGACACAGCTGAACAACTTCAAAGACTATTTGCTTCATATAATATTAAAGTCTATGCCAAACCTAATTCTCTGGAGAAAACGTTGGTGCATGTCAAAGATATAGTTCCCAGAATGTCACAAAGTAATTGTGTCTATAGGATAGTGTTCCGAATGTGATGCATGCTATATAGGGGAGAGCAATAGGCAAGTGAAGGTCAGAGTGAATGAACATAGACTATGCACGAAACGTCCACCTAGAAATGCAGTAGAATTAAAAAGTCTGGAATAATGATCGGCTATAGCAATGCTTGCGATAGACAGCGGACATAAGATTGGTTTCGACAATGTCAAAATTCTCGGAAGAGGATTTCATTCACATAAAGAAAGATTGACCCCTGAAGCCTTGCACATTTTAACCACGTCGAATGCAGTAAATAGGAAAGAAGGGGTAGACTTATCACCTATATGGCAAACTCTTATGAAGCAAGACAGATGAAAAATCCAATAAACAATTTATGAGCCTCCATGACCTTTTAAAAATGTAGGATCATGTTTATCAGATATGAATTCACGTATTTTCCATATGACAACATACATACACACACTCATACAAAACTAATCTTTATAAATCAACTATAGAAGGGTATACACAACAACAACTTGACATTAGTCATTACAAAAATATATGTGATGACTGCTTACATATTTTCTATTGGTAAAAATGTCCATGGACAAATGACCTTCAAATAAACTGACTTCAATCTATACTGTGTTAGTATTACTATTACTAATGTTATTATTATTTAATTATTTAGAAAATACTGAAAACAAACACCTCATTTTAATCATTTAATTACAAAGAAATTAAACACTTTTACAGAAAAAGAAAATAAAGAAGCTTCTTTCATGTATATCACAGTTGAATAAATACCCTTTCTTATCATACTTCCTTAATAACTTGCTTGAGGAAGAAGGATTCTGATTTTGGGCATACATTTCTTGTCGAAGATTTTAGACTTTGCTGTATTTAAATGAGAAATGTTTCATGAATAGTAAATATTATATTTAAAATGCATAACAAATAAAATCAATATATATATATATATATATATATATATATATAAAGTGTTAAGTTTAATGTATGATTTTAAAAATGGCGCGCACATTTTACACTGAACAATAGCAAGGTTTAAAACAACCAGTTTCTTTAATAAATTTGGATGGTGTTTTATTAATTTATGTGTAGAACTTAGGCGCTGTGGTAGTAGGTAATTCCATATTAGTTTATTTATTAGATATATCACACAGTGAGTGAAACAGTATTATTTACTGGATGACGTTTCGAAAAAAAATTATTGTTCATAATCATAGCATCAATTATAATCACACGACTTCGAAACTTCACTTTTATAGTTTTCATTGTTGTCTCCTATTTGCCGTCGTAGGTGTGTTAGTAGGATTTTCCAGATATCTGGGTGGACAGGTGTTGAATCATTCCTATTACACGTGTTTGCAGTTGATTCAATAAGCATAAAGCTTCCGTTAACACCAGTATCCCCGGTTGTGGCATATATATATATATATATTCATGGAAGACTTAACGACTGAAACGTTCAGTCCCACCCGAAAAGTTTGGTGGAGGTATGTAGATGACACATTCACTGTACTTAGAACACAGGATAAAGATAGATTTTTCGAACACATTAACTCAAAGGTGGAGGCAATTCAATTCACTTATGAATTGGAAAGTCAGGAAGGGGAGCTTCCAATGTTAGATTGTAGCGTAAAAAGGAAAGAAGATGGGAAGTTAAACACTAGTGTTTACAGGAAACCCACACATTCAAACAGATATTTGGACTTCCGATCATCCCATCCTATGTCAGTGAAAATAGAATTGGTGAAATGTTTAAGTGACAGAGCATAAAAACTAAGTAGTATCAAGGAAAATTTAAGATAGGAAGTGAGACATATGAGAGAAACTTTTTTTATTTCCTTTACGTTCCCCAGTGGTACATAGGGCTTCAAGCTAGAGGCTTGAAGTTTCTGTAGCAGTGTTTATTTTTACAGGATGAGGTTGCTAGCCTCATGCCCAACCTTTCCTCTTTACCAGCTTTATTTCTGGCTTAGCGAGAGAAACTTTGAAACTTAATAATTATCCTGATAAATTAATCAGAAAGTATGTAGGGAAATGTAAAAATAAAAATAAAATAAATAATGATAGCAGTGATAGTGATAATAATAATATTAATGACGACATGCATGTCAAACATGCGCAAGATAATGACAACACCAACAATAAGGGATCTAAATTATCACTAGTAATTTCATGCATGGAAGGAACCTCGGAAACCTTACGCAGAATTCCTAATGATGCAGGAATAAAAGTGACCAGCATTCAAACCGACAAACTTAATTAGAAACAAGCTTTGCCAGTTGAAGGATAAATCCTGTGGAGCCAATTGAACAAAACAACTTAGTTTATCTAATACCCTGCGTGCAATGATTGTCAGGTCAAAGTAGTAGAACAGGTGCAGTCAGACTAGCCGAGCATAAAAACCTAGCAAAATCTAGATTATTTGACCTGAATAAGATAAGAAATCTGCAGAATAGTTCAGCCATAGCACTACATGCAATTACACACAACCACACAATAGGATGGCATAAGATGACATTCTTAGGATCTAATATAACCGGGTGGAGGGAAAGATTGATAGCGGAAGCTTTGTTTATCGAATCAACTACAAACATGTGTAATTGGGATGATTCAATACCTGTCCACCCAGATATCTGGAAAATTCTACTACCACACCCACGACGACAAATAGGAGAGAACAAAGAAAACTATAAAACTGAAGTTTCGAAGTCGTGTGATTATAATTGATGATATGATTATGAACGGTGATAAATTGTGTTTGAAATCATGTCGTATAGTAAATAATAATACAGTTTCACTCACTGTGTGATACATCTTATAAACAAACTAATATGGAATTGCCTACTACCACAGTGCCCAAGTTCTACACATATCTGGTCTGGTTATCTTCATCATTTCCGTCTGCTCTATGCCTACAGGAAGTGCTGTCTTTGTTGTCTGCTTCTTCTGCCAGTTCGCTGGTTTTCTCCTGTAAGTCTTTGAAACTGAATTACATGACACATAAATCATCCACGAAATCTCGATCTTCTAGAGTCTGCTTGTCGGTCCGACGAATTCCTGTCTCCGGTAAAGTTATACTTTAAGCACCACTAACTACCTATCAGCGAATGATCTCGAACGTACCAGTCACGTGAAGGAGGCATTTTCGTGTATGGAATACATATGGCGAAGTTTAACAACAGTATCCCACAAGTGTGAACGCTTCAATGACCTTGAACGCATGCTAGTCGTTGGCCCTTAGTTTTAGTCTGGAGCACCAACAGAAAATAATTCCACTGTGGGTAAAATTTATTTTGATAAAGTTTCATAGTGTAATACAGTAATATTTCCTGAGCAATAGATTGCGCTCGAAACGTCATCAGTAAATATTACTGTATAACACCTTAAAACTTTATCAAAATGAATGTTACTCACAGTGGAATTTTACTTGACCACAGTGCACAAGTTCTATTCTTATATCAACAGAGTAATTTGACCACATACTATGCATGTAATTACTTAGGTCTTCTAACCCCCCTAACAATAACCCTAATGTTTCCTGAACCTAACCCTAATGTTAAAAGATCCCTAAACTAATTGTAATCTAACTCGGACCAACACTAACGTCGCCTTTATTAGGTTAGCCTAACCTTAACTTGTCCTTGGCTTAAAGAGTAACTTAATCTTTCCCAAACCTAAGCTGGAACTTACTAGAAATCCCATTTAGTAGCATAACACTTTGATGTGCATATTTTATTGATGATGACAATATTATTTGCCGGATTTCACTAACTTGCTCAGTGAGCGTTTCAAGGTCATTGGTGCGGCCGCACTCCATTGGTGGTAGTCAGTGGTGCTTAAAGTTTAACTTGAACCTGTCTCCTCACTCCCCCAATCTGAAGCATAATCCAATCCATCATCGGTGACAGTAGGCATCAGGATCTAATTACTATTAACTAAACTTCCATTTTATAAATTCAGAAGTTAGACTAACCAATAATAAAACATCTATACAATCAAGAAGGTGGTTTTAGAAACTTAAAATTTCAAACTTTGAGTTACATCACTAATTCCAGGAAGTCGAAAGTACCCGAATGGCAACACTATGACTGCCTTCATAGGTTTTATTCAAAGAGCAATTGATTTGCACAAGTTTACGGTCAAATTAGCATCAATTATTTAATTTTTCAATTAAAGACTCACATGATTTGGTAATGGATTTCTTGGCGGCCTTACGTTTCGGAGATTTCTTCTGCACCTCTGAAATGTAGTAAAATGTCTAAATAATTCAGAAAACATATGCGTCATATTCTCAGATAATTGTTATAGCTGATTCACGCGAAGATTCTTTGAGCTAAATTCTATGTAATACAAAATCTCATTATAGAAAAAATCCCCATTTAGACATTTAGAAAACAGAAAGATTGAGCGAAGAAATATTTACTTTTCAGTTAGGTCCTCATCTCTGGCTCTACTCTAATATATATATATATATATATATATATATATATATATAGCATTTTTATTACAATACACAGTTCATAATACAGTTTACCAATCAAATGGCGATAGGTTTGTTAACAATAACTGAAGCAGTAGAAATCCACCTGAAGAAGCCAAACCTGTGTGTTCAGAAGAAATTTGTGTAGCCACTTTCCTTGGCCCTCCTCCTAAACCTAAAAATTATAAAAATTATAACTGTCTAAATTATTTTATTTTATTTATCTTTAATTGCGTCTTATCCTTGTAAAATTATTTTATTCTAACCATTTCTACCCTTTAAATGTGTATTGATTTTCTTCGTTAATTATCAACCCACTGACATTTTGACACTGACTAATTATTGTTAACAAACATATCAGTGCCACTTGATTGGTAAACTGTTCTGTATTGTAATAATAATGCTATACGTGTATATTAGAGTAGAGCCAGAGTTAGATGAGGATCTAATTGAAAAGTAAATATTCCTTCGCTCAATCTTTCTGTTTTTTAAAAATTTCATTACGCGTAGTCTGATTTACTATAGAGTACATAGCTATGGTAAGATTTGTGTGACTGCATTTAAAACTTCCAAAGTCTGAAAATAAACAGAAGGGCGGCTGACACTGACTTGATTCCTAAATAGACATTGATGACAGTAGACACCGCAAGATAATAAGAAGTTAGCTCAGTTTAACTCCATTATGGACAGGATTTTATTTTGATAAATCACACAGTGGTGTTATACAGTAATATTAACTGATGACCACGTTTCGAGCACAAACTATTGCTACACATAATCATATCAAGTCATTCATACAACTTTTTTCCTTCATTTATATACATGAGTGGAATTGATGATTAGACATCTGAATAAAAATCAATATAGGATAATGTACATTCAGAAATAATAATATGAGTGTTATCAATCAATTACAATCAGATGGGAAATAAGACGAGTGTTTTTATAGTCATAATAAGTAACTTGTTAGAATGTTGTAATGCGCTTGAATTCAAATAGAATTTTGAGATTATTTATTATCCTCTTCTGATTTGACTGGTGGTAATAATATCTTCCATGCATATCTCTGGTATTTGCATTGAATCATTTCTGTTGCATGTGTTGGGTGTAGACTCAATGAACCAGGCAGGATTCAGTAATCAATCTCTCTCTCCACCCACATAGATTACTTCTTAGAATCTTAACCCTCTCCCACCCTGTTGTGTGGTTGTGTTTTAATGCATGCAGTGCTGAGCTTCTCGAGGTCAACTAAATAGGTCAGACTAGTAGGTTGGGGGTAATCAGATTGTCGGAACATAAGAATTTAGCTAAGGTAAGTATGGTTGACCCCGAGAAGATAAGTAATTTAGAAAAAAGCTCACCAACTGCACTGCATGCATTAACACACAACCACACAAAAGGGTGGGACAGAGTTAAAATTCTAAAAAATAGTATAGGTAGGTGGAGAGAGAGGTGGTTGATTAGTGAACCCTGGTTCATTGAGTCTACACACCCAACACATGCAACAGAAATGACTCAATGCATGGAAGATATTATTACCACTAGTCAATCAAATCAGAGAAGGATAATAAATAATCTTAAAATTCTATTTCAATTCAAGCACATTACAACATTCTAACAAGTTACTTATTATGACTATAAAAGCAGTCGTCTTTGTGAGTAGTGCGTTGATATGATTATGAGTAGCAGTGATAACTTGTGTTCGAAACGTGGTCATCAATTAATATTACTGAACAACACCACTGTGTGATTTATCAAAATAAAATCTTGTCCATAATGGAGTTATACTCTACCATCACAGTGCCCAAGTTTTATACTTATATCACTTAGCTCAGCTTGGATTCTTCAAGTCTTCCAGAGGCTATATAAGTTCGAAATTGCAATTTAGAAATTTAGATGGGTAGAATCAATTAGAAGTGACTCTTTTATAGGTGGTAATAAGTAGTGAATTGAATGAGTGATATTTCAAACAGAGATACAAGTAAACCAGATCTCTTGATGAATATCGTATTTTGGTTTTTACATAAACGGGCAGTAGACTTTTAAACGAGCATAGGCTGACAAGCAATTAAAATAATTTAATAATTCCCATTGTAGCACTAAGAACACAATATTCAGCGAAGAGACTCTTTTCAGCGAATTTGTTATCAAGCTATACAATCGTATATATATGGGTTTTAAGAAATTATATCCAGTGAGGGAATTAGGTCAAAGGTGTGAATACATGAAATAATGGTAATAATAGTATGAAATGCAATTAAAATATTTGTGACTATAATCATAGTTAAATGTCACGTAGTAAAACAATTAATGTCATATTTAGAATAATACATAAGGTGTATAGAATTTTGGAAAGGGGTACATAGTTATAAGATTAGTAGGCGAATATAAAATGTTACATAACATGGTGTGAAATTTGATAAGATAGAATTCAACACTGTAAAAATAAAAAATATAAAAATTAATAATTTTGGATTTAGAATGACAAGTGGGTCAAAAGGAAAGGATTCAGAGTGAGAATAGTAATAATAATAATAATAATAATAATAATCGTAGTAATAAGGCAAAGGTACACAGATTAACCAAATAAACAAAATAAATAAATAAGTGTCTATCCCTTTACAGCCAAGGTAGAAGTAGGGATTGTACGTGCTTCTTTTGTACACAAAGGTCTGGCTTAAAGTTATGAATTGCCCTCTGTGTACAAAATCTCTAAATCCAAAATTATTAATTTTTATATTTTTATTTTTACAGTGTTGAATTCTATCTTATCAAATTTCACACCATGTTATGTAACATTTTATATTCGCCTACTAATCTTATAACTATGTACCCCTTTCCAAAATTCTATACACCTTATGTATTATTCTAAATATGACATTAATTGTTTTACTACGTGACATTTAACTATGATTATAGTCACAAATATTTTAATTGCATTTCATACTATTATTACCATTATTTCATGTATTCACACCTTTGACCTAATTCCCTCACTGGATATAATTTCTTAAAACCCATATATATACGATTGTATAGCTTGATAACAAATTCGCTGAAAAGAGTCTCTTCGCTGAATATTGTGTTCTTAAGCAATTAAAACACTAATCGCTATTCACAAACAAAAAGGGCTGCTTACTTGCGTCTTTTACACGATATATGTGACTGACGACGACCACAGTCTCTGCATCGCTAAGAGCTATATTTTCTTCATCCGGCGAGTTCGCCTCATCAAGTGTTTGAGATAAACCTTAAGGAAGAAATAGAATTTTAAATACACTGACTCACCGCCATCACCACCACCTTTTGTTACACGGCATTCCACGCCAGCTAGCGCCATATATATACCAAATGCGTACAACATATTCTAGGAATTGAAACCATTTGAAGGCGATTGCCCAGAAATAATTAATCAAGCCTACCTTAAAGAAATTCATTTATCTCTCAATCGTGTTGGGTAAATTTAAATGACATTTTGGGCCATTATATCATATTTATACCAGTGAAACGAAGACATTTTAAATCAAGTCACACGTATGGAAGTGTAAGACATGCACTTCCCTACATTTTGCATTTCTTTACTTTGAGTTATACCACGTGTAAAACCACACACACACAGTATGCATTTTTTCAGCTCTATTCCCCATTTAACTATCTATACTTAGGCATGACTAAAATCTACTACACAATTTCTATTTAAATATCTTATTTTGACAGTCACAAAATTTAGATAAAGCAATAAGAAGATGTAATTTGGTTACAGGATTTCATCATGAGCTGACATTGGTTAAAGAACCATTGGAAAACCTGCATGGAGTACTGGACAGCTGTTTCGTCCTAGTTTGGGACTCTTCATCGGCACGCACCAACCGCCACGGTTCGAACCCAGGACCTTTTGGTTACAAGCTGAGCTCGTAGACCATTAGGACACTCACTGAGACCCGATCCAATGGCCCATGGATTCTAACTACTGCCAATTCACAACATAGCGCAACCGCTAGCCATTGTCTTCGGCGAGTATTTGTCTTCACACGCGACCTGCTGCATCCTACTGGTCACGAATTCCCACTTTAACCCCAGGTAACTACCTACCTGAATAGGGCCAGTCGCCAGTGAGTATCTCATTGATATTAAAGTGTTGGTTTGTAGGGATTTGATTGATTAGTTACAGGATTTCATCATGAGGTTTTCCAATGGTTCTCTAACCAATATCAGCTCATGATGAAATCCTGTAACCAATCAACCAAATCCCAACAAACAAATTCTTGAAGACGTAATATGTCTGAACCGTCTGTGCTTCGGTGTCACAGTGGTTAGGACTCTCGCCGACCATGCACATGGTCCGGAATTCAATCCCCCGCCGGCGCACACCCGATATCAATGGTCGGCCTGCAAAATTGGGCTACTGATGTCACATGCTGAAAATTCCATACCTGTTCCAAAATACGGTGTGGAATCAAGCTATAATAAATAAAAACTAAATAAATAAATAATGTATTTGCGCAAAACTTACCGAACAATCTGATCACACACGGACTTGTCGTAGGAATGTATATACAGTTAATAAAGAGTTAAGAGGTGAGAAAAATAAATTTAGGTCAACTTAAAAGGAAATATTGAAGGAAAAAATAACAAAAAAGATCACTAAACCAAATAACAGAGATAATAGTACATCTACACTGGCTGGTATCAAAACAAAGTTTACCAAGGAAGGTTTTGTGTGGTGACGAATTGCTTTTGAACTCTTAAAGGCGGTCTAAGCTTCTCAGTTGCCAGCTAGGGCTTCCACAAACTTTAGGATACGCCTTCCCCCAAACACGTTTCATGCGTAGTTTTAAAGATGTGCAAACGTTAATTTTATGGACTGTCTCTATAATATGTCTCGCAGTAGTGGAGCTACGTCTCCTGTTCTCACCATTAATGGGTTCTGGGGATTCCACTTGCTTCTTAAGCCATTTAGGAATATCCTGTGAAGCTAGCCCTTACTTTTAGAGGTCGATGAGTCCTCCCTGTGTATGTGTATCCACACGTACATTCAAACTGGTAAATACAGTGGGGTGTGACAGCATTTTTCGCATATTTTATGGGCTTAGATGGATATATCGGCTTCACACCCTCAGTTATTCGGATCTTAGCTGCATGAAAAGTCTTTTTAACCTCAGTGTTCAATGTTTGTCGAGTTATCAAACTGCTATGATCTCCAATGTAGGGTAGCTTAATGTACACGTCTTTCTTAGCGGTGAGTTGGAGAGTGAGTCTTGTTGTTCTACTGAAGAGGCGTCTTACTAAGGCTCTTTTTAACCGAACAGCGCAGAAACTGCGATAATTAAGATGATGTCCTTTCCAAGTAGGTTTTTCTATAAATAGAATGTTTGGTTGAACCATCAAGCCGTCGACTAAGCAATATATCTAGGAAAGATAAACAATTATCTTCCTCTTACCAGTGGCACAGAAAATTATGACGTCACATACTCATCGTGATATTATGCTGCATCAGTTTTAATGTTATCTCAGGTGGGAAAGTTTATTCAGAATCCAGATATTAATATACAGACTACCTTGACTATCCTTGCTTTTTTCTTCTGCCTACAGTGCTAATGAACTATGAGGAGTTCTACTGATAAAACATGGCACTCATGTGTTGTTTCACTACCATTTACGTTTATTTTCGTTTGTAATATCAGAACAAGACATATAAGCCAACAATACTGTTGTTTTCAATTAGATCTTCTTCAGGCTTTACTCTAATTTAAATAGATTTATATATAAAAGTTTTTAACCAATGACGGTGATTTTGTGGATCAAATAATAATAATAATAATGAACGTAGTTATTAAGGATGATTATGATGATAACAAAATATTGATAATAAGGTTTATGCAGGTGGCGATAAGAATAACAAAGGTAGTATATGTGTATACATGTGTACTATATGTAGACAATTCAATAAATAAATAAATAAGGTCAAATCTTAAAAGTTACGTAACACAAAGAGGGAAGTGGACAAATAATCAGACTTTAAATAAATAACATAAAAATACGAAGGAGATGGAAAATAAGAAAGGGTGGGAGGGTTTTGAATAGAATCCACCTAGGCAAGCAAGGGAGAGACAAAGGTAGAACAAACTTCTTTTGTCGTATGCAAAGACTAGGAGTGTTCTCTCGAATTAATTCCCATAGCTTCAGCTATGTGTAAAAGGCGGGTTCGAATTCCGTTCGAAAGGCTCGATGGAATGCGATAGATAACTTTGAAGGCACTATTTTTGTCCACTTGGTGACCGCTATCAATCAAATGAGTCAAAATAGAACTTATCATAGATTTTATTTGACCTTTTCCGAACCATGAAGGAAGATGCTCATGAATGCGTTTGGTAAGCTGTCTAGTTGTTCGCCCTATATAGCTCTCTCCACAGGAGCAACTAAATTTATAGATACACATAGATATGGCAGAGCTAGGTAGCTTGTCTTTCACTTGAGCAATCATAATTGGTCGGCTGGAAAATGACAAACACAGAGTGGCGGCAGTATAAGTCCATTTTATCGCTCTCATTTGAAGCAGTTGTTGTTAAATAATCTGTGAAAACAATTCGTCTTTATTGTTGAATTTTAACTGGAGAAATAATGTTACTTGTGCTATTCCCTATTCACTGTTTATAGAGTCATCTGTAATGATCTGCTAAGTGATGTCAATCTGCGATCAAACTTGAAGCAGATCAAATCAATAGAGGCTAACTCTTGAAAATTAACCTGTTGCCAACTAGTGACTTGCCTGAAATTCTAGTGACAAGTCGTGAACAGTGGCGTTCAGCCAATCGGGAGTGAAGATGAGTACTCACCACTGATGACATTGGCTAGCGCCAGTCACGTTAAAATCACGAATTGGTAGAAGTTAGAATCCATATTCTGGCTAACGAGGAGTCGGATCCCATTGGCTGAATGGTTTATTAGCCTGACTTGTAACCTGGAGATCCTGGGTTCGACACCTGGCAGATGCGTACTGCCAATCAGTCCCAAACTAGGGCGGACGAAACAGCTGGCTGTCCAGTACTCCTTAGTGGATTAAAAGTCACACAGAGTTTCCATTGGGTTTTCCTCCTGACTAGTGTGTTTAGGTTGAATTTCTTGTCACTTTTGTTGTAGAGTATCCTGAAAAATTTAGTACAAAAGGCTCCAGCTACTAGTGCTGATACAGGACAGTGCACAAGACAAAGCAAGTTCATAATGTAGAGATACAAGGAGTGAACTGGATAGTATACACTGGTAAAATTAAACAAATGTAGCTTTTATTTGTGGTGGCCTTCTGATTGATTAAAACTTCATGTACTTTAATCTTATTTACTGACATTTACCTAAATTCAAATCTGTCAATCAGTATCAAACTGTAAGGTGTATAATGATTATAGAAAAAGGTCAGTGTAGGACATTTGAATAATCTTTGTCACATGGTGTTTACTTGTCATGCAAAGGATTATGGAGTTTATGAAAGTTTAGCTGAAAATCGTAAGTTTATAGATAATATGAAGGCTATTTCATTGGAGACATTGAATCACTTCGGTAATTAATCTGAGTTGTGTAGACTTAGAGATTTTATGGAATCATTTATCAGAAAGTTGTAATATCACCTACCGTGTTATCTAAATTTAGTGAGATTAAGACTCTGATGAAACCAGAAGCATAATTTTCCTGCAAGTTCAAGTTCTATAAGATATCTTGATCAGAATGTCAGAGCTTATATGACATAGAGAAATGTCCCAAAACTGCTTACCGATTCACTATCAAGACATTTGTGTTAATTCACATTGTCCAATATAATTCCTAATAAATACTCTTAACTTACGTACAGATGCCTTCTTATTGATCAGTTATCTGATGTTCTAAACTGTTATTTAGTCAGACAAACAAACACTATTTTTCACGATATTTAAGTGTTGGTTTGTAGGGATTTGATTGGTTACAGGATTTCATCATGAGCTGAGATTGGTTAGAGAACCATTGGGAGCTGTTTCGTCCAGCTGTCCAGTACTCTTAGGTTTCCCAATGGTTCTCTAACCAATCTCAGCTCATGATGAAATCCTGTAAACTATTTTTCACGAGTTGGTACTGACTGGCAGTCGCGCTAAAATCACACATAGGTAGAAGTAAGAACTCATGGGCTGGCCATTGAGGAGTCGGGTCGCACCGGCCTAATAGTCTGAAAGCTTGTCTTGTAACCGAAAGCTCCTGGGCCCAAAACCTGGCGGGTGGTCAAACTCATAACTCATTATTTTATCCAGAGAAATAATGCTAGAATGAAGGGGAAACAGAACTAGTTTCGGGTAGGTGTGAAGGAAAGAAATGAAT